TTTGCTAACTTGGATGAATGGTATTTGTAAGTCAGGCCAAGGAAAAATACACATGTAGCATTTCTTCACATCCAAAACCACTCCACATGATCACAGAAGAAAGGTTAACCAGACAGACATGCAGACACTCATTTCCCTAATTCAGCAATATGAACTGCAGACACTACCTGGCCAGAGCTTCCTGATTTCTGGCATTTTATTTTGTAAGCCAGTGCTTCAGTGTGCCAAAGAACAGTACTCCAGAGAACTAAACAAGTTAATAGATTTTCCCTAAATTGGAGCAATTTGCTTCTCCTTTATTGAATCCAGAAAGCTAACTGTCAAAAGGCACAGAATGGTGGAGACGGTACCCTGAGGTAACAAAACTCCATTATGTTGCATTCCATTAGCTCGGAGCCCAGGGTGTATGGGGGCAACCTCATGGCGTAACAAGGCGGGATTGGAAGCAGACTTTATGCACTTCCCCTCCAGGCTGTCTATTTTGTCCCACATGGAAACATCCCAATATCCTTATTTCTGCCTGAAACATATGCACAGACACACACTCACACACAAAACCCAAATGCTTACACTAAGCTAGAAGTTATCAGAGAGGTAAGTGACATTAAGGTGGAAGAGAAATGCCCAGCCTCCCTCGGAAGGGACATTTCAAGCCCCTGACCGTCTCCCTCCCCTTGAAGAAGCCAGGACTTTTACCACGCATTGGCGGGCTGCTGACTTCCCAGCTGCACCACAATTTCTACTCTCCTGCTCTTACACCCTCTGGGGCAAATTCTCTTGCTACTCATTGGCGTTTGCAGTCTTAGGTTTTATAAAACCAAACGAATTTCTTACTGACTGGTCATGTCCTTTAAGTCTTTAAGTCTTTTACATTGACATGTAATGACTGTACATATGTATGAGGCACAGTGTAACATTTCAATACATGCATAGGATGTGTAACAAGGGAACTATATTCACCACCTTAGACATTTATTATTTCCTTGTGTTGGGAACATTCAAAATCCTCTCCTCTCTTTTTTGATGGATTATATATATAAAATATATACCAAATCGTTGTCAACCATAGTCATCTCATAGGATATTAGAAGTTACTGGGAATTTTTAAAAATGTGCATCTTGACTTTAAGAGTACATATTAAAAATTGATCAGTATTAGGTTAAACTGTATATTTTTTTTTGTTTTTGTTTTTTTCGACAGGCAGAGTGGACAGTGAGAGAGAGAGACAGAGAGAAAGGTCTTCCTTTGCCGTTGGTTCACCCTCCAATGGCCGCCGTGGCCGGCGCACTGCGCTGATCCGAAGCCAGGAGCCAGGTGCTTCTCCTGGTCTCCCATGGGGTGCAGGGCCCAAGCACTTGGGCCATCCTCCACTGCACTCCCGGGCCACAGCAGAGAGCTGGCCTGGAAGAGGGGCAACCGGGACAGAATCCGGTGCCTCGACCGGGACTAGAACCCCGTGTGCCGGCGCCGCATGCAGAGAATTAGCCTATTGAGCCGCGGCACCGGCCTTAAACTGTATATATATATTTTTTTAAATTAAAGATTGATTTGAAAGGCAGAGCGACACACAAAGAGAGGAAGAGGAAACGAAATCTTCCATCTGCTGGTTCACTCCCCAACATATCCACAAGAGCTGGGGATGGGCCAGGCTGAAACCAGGAACCTGGAACTCCATCTGGGTTCCAAGTCCTTGGGCCATCTTTTGTTGCTTTTCCCAGGTGCATTATCTTGAAGCTGGATCAAAAGTGAGCAGTCAGGACTTGAACCAGCACTCATATGGGATGCCAGGGTCTTAAGTGGTGGCTTAACCCACTGTGCCAGATGGCTCCAAACCACATATGTTTATGCTAGAAATGGGAAGATTCTAGTTACTTCAAGTAAGGGACTTCTGCGTGGATAACCAAACTAACCCCAAAGTACCTAACTGCGGCATTCTAGAAGAAGGAGCTCTCGAGCTTCAGCTGCATTCAAAAGGGACAGGATATTTGGCTAGAAGAAATTTCTGAAGTCCTGGTGTGGTAGTGGCATAGTGGGAAAGGCCATTGCCTGTAACGCTGGCATCCCATACGGCCACTGGTTCAAGTCCTGGATATACTACTTCCTATCCAGCTCCCTGCTATTGTACCTGGGAAAGCAGTGGAGGATGGCCCAAGTACTTGGGCCCTTGCACCCATGTGGGAGACTTGGGTGGAGTTCCTGGCTTCTGGTTTGGCCTGGCCTAGCCCCAGCTGTTGTGGCCATTTGGGGAGTTAACCAACTGATAGGAGACCTCTGTCTCTCTCTCTCTCCCTCTTGCTCTCTTTATGTAAACCTGCCTTTCAAATAAAAAATAGAAAAAGAAAAAGAAAGAACATGGTGACTGTCTACTATTGTGAAATAAGGTAGCGGCCAATGCAATAGTACAGAATATTTTCTGGAATGAAATTCAATTATAAAAATTTTCAGCTACTATATTGGGTAAAACATAAGGAAATAATAAATCTTCCAATAATATGAACTCTTAAAGACTAGAGCCTATACACAAGGCTGTGGTGTTTTAGTTTTGTTTTTTTTTTTTTAAGATTACTTTTTTATTTGAAAGGCAGAGTTACAGAGAGACAGAGGGAGAGAGAGAGAGAGAGAGAGAGAGAGAGAGAGAGTGTGTGTCTTCCATCAGCTAGTTCACTCTCCAAATGGCCGCAACAGCCAGAACTGAGCTGATCCGAGGCCAGGAGCCAGGAGCTTCTTCTGGGTCTTCCATGTGGGTGCAGGGGCCCAAAGACTTGGGCCATCTTCTACTGCTTTCCCAGGCCCATAGCAGAGAGCTGGATCAGAAGTGGAACAGCTAGGACTCAAACTGGCACCCATAAGGGATGCTGGAACTGTGGGTGGTGGCTTTACCTGCTATGCTGCAAGGCTGTGGTGTTTTAACCCAATTTTATCAAGCACTCTAGGAAGAAAGATATTGCTGGAAGGGCCCCCAAAAGACTTGTTTTATAGATGAGGGAACAGGAAAGGGGGCCCCAGAGGACGTAAATGACTTGTTCAAGTTCACTGAGCCACTTCGAGGAAGTGTGCCAGAACTCAGGTTTCTTACCTTCTATCCTGACTGCTCACCCACTGCAGTACCTGCATCAGGCCAAGGAAGAGGGAAAGAAAATTTTCTTTTGTTTATTCTGATTTTATAGTTCAGGACTGAATTGTGCCATAAAGTGAGGACGAGCTAACCGTGTTCACTCTACATAGGTAGCTTTTCCCTGTGGGCACTACACTGTCCCCATGCTTTCTTTTCTGGAGGGAAGGCAGTTGTTAGGGATTGCGCTATGTCCCCAAAAGGTGTGTTGAAGCACCAGTCCTACCATCTCAGAATGTGACCTTCTTTGTAAAGGGGGTCATAGCAGGTGGAGTCAGTTAATGCGAGGTCATATTGGAGCAGGGTAGTAATCCAATATGGCTGAGGTCAGCGCTATGGCGCAGTGGGTTAACGCCCTGGCCTGAAGTGCCGCCATCCAATATGGGTGCCGGTTCAAGACCCAGCTGCTCCACTGCCTGTCTAGCTCTCTGCTATGGCCTGGGAAAGCAGTAGAAGATGGCCCAAGTGCTTGGCCCCCTGCACCCACATGGGATTCCGGAAAGAAGCTCCTGGCTCCTGGCTTCGGATCGACACAGCTCCAGCCGTTGCAGCCATCTGGGGAGTGAACCATCCGGTGGAAGACCTCTCTCTCTCTCTCTCTCTCTCTCTCCCTCTCTCTCTGCTTCTCCTCTCTCTGTGTAACTCTTTTAAATAAATAAATCTTAAAAAAAAAAAATCCAACATGGCTGCTCTCCTTATAAAAACAAGCAACACAGAGAACAGAATGCAATGTGAGGGGACAGATGCCCAGGGGGAAGATGGCCATTAGACCAGAGAGGCAGAGAGTGATAAATCTCCAAGTCAAGGGTAGTTTGCCACCATCAGAAACCAGGAGAGGCAAAGGAAGATTTTCCCCTACAAGCTACATGTGGCTTCTGGCCCCGCCCACACTTTGATTTTGCACCTCCCCAGAACTTGGGGGAAAATAATGTAGTTTGAAGCCACCGGGTGTATGGTTCTTTGTTATTGCAAAAATATTTCTCATCAGTATGCTCAAGATAGACAAGCTCTCCAGTGGACTGCATGTGCCTGAAGCATGTACCCCTGTATTCCAATGCAAACAGCAGCAATACAGTGACTTTCCAATGTTGTATGGAGCATTATTTATTCAGCACAAATAACACCTTCCACAATGGAAAGGACCTTGGCTAGCTATTTTTCCACTTCATAGGTATGGAAATGCCACATCTAAAATTGCAGAACCCAGAACCAGCATCTCCCCTTCTTATCCTATAATTCCTTTTTCCACACTTTCATTTTTCTCATTAAAATACTGTGTGCTGGTGGCTTGACTGAATGAAAAAAACGGTACCTCTGTGAAATTCAGTGGTTACAAACATATACCAAAAAAATTATCTAAATGTCTCTTTGCAACATGCTTTGTATGTGAATATATAACTTTGGGAAGAGATACTGGAGGAATCCAATACTAAAGCACATATACAACTTGATAATTCTTGCATAAATTTATAAATATCAGATGAAAACATGATTCCAAATATATGTGCACATGTATTTCCCACCTTAAAATTTAGGAAAACTGAGTTTTTCAATGGGATGTAACTTCTTAAGTTGTATTCTGAAATACTGGAAACCTAGATATTCATAGTGAGAGGGAACAGGTACTGAGAAATGAAATTACTTTACTTGGCTATGATTAGTTCCAATTAAAGACTGAACTTTTAACTAATTTATGACTTATGAGAGAACCCATAACTCTGCCAATCAAATAAAACGATTAATAGTACTAAAATTCCTGTAAGTGAAGTGTTTTCAGTACCTTATTTAGCAACTATTCTTATCCCAAATTAAGTTTATAGTGTTAATAGTGTTTGCATGTATGGTGAATTATTGATATGATCAAGACTCAAAGAAATTTCCAAACAATTATACAAAAAAGAAAAACAAAACAAACAAAACACTTTATTTTCCACAAGGAAGAGCAATAGGAAAAATTAAATCATTTCCCACATATTGTTTTCTTAAAACAGAGCCTACAAGGACATATTCAGCACCAAATAAAAAAAGAAAAAAATAGAGAAAAATTACAAACAGCCATAGAATATAATCTATAAAGCAAACATTTAATATTGCACTTTGTTTTGCTAACATTTTGGATTTTACTTTTCCTAATTGAAAAATCAGGAATCTATCATGAATACTGGAATACAACTGTGAACCTCACATCGTATGTCAGGAATTGACCAATATTTAGGAGAAAGTAATGCCTCTAAATAAGAGTAAGGAAATACTTTAGTGGAGAAAATAAAACTTTATTTAATAAAGTTTTATAAATTTAAAATGTTATCACATTTGTGATCCAGTGCCAATGATCAGAATATTGGTCATTCTTGCTTCATGTGTTACTTTAAGAGTATATGATGATCAGTATTCCAATGCTATGCATATCAACAATTGTTCCCTAGTCTGTTAGACATAAGAAAAAAAGAAAAGGGATTTTCTGACAATCCCCCCAAACAAAAATAAAACCACCAAATGCCCTTAATGCCAAATATTCCATTAGCTTCTTTTGAGGGGGACATTCACAAAATGATTTAACAACAATAAAAAAATATTTCACCCCCATTTCCTTATTATCTAGTATTAGTTTGCTACGGGAGCCCAAACCCTTTAACCGAATCACTTAAAACGCGATTCATTTTACACTGGGCTTTCTTCACCCTGTCAGCATTTTTCAAACATGAATTGTCTTCCATGTTTTCTTAAAGGCCACTTATGGAAAAGCCTATTTGTTTTGTATGAAGCTTTAAGACAGTATTTAACCAGGTCAAGCACCAAGCCAGAGTTACTATTATTTTCAGCCACTTTATTAACTGTGGGGTTAAATGGTAGGATAGATGTACTACCCATTTCACACATATGTTGCAACATCAGAGATGCTGACTTTTATTAGAAACAGTTCCTTCTTAAAAAAAAAAAAAAATCAGTACACTTGGTATCTTGGAACATGTAGTTTTAAATGTTGTTATGAATGCTGGTATATTTATTATGAGCCAACCGTAAATTATCTTTAAATGATTACTTTTCCTATCTTCTCTATATAACTCAAAGTGAGTGATTTCTCATGTTTAACAAACTGTTCTTTCTGTAGGTAATGGAAAAAAAGCATTTAAATTTAAAAAACCACACACACACACACACACACACACACAAAGACACATACATAAAAATTCAACTGTTATCCCAACAAGCATCCTAGTATTTGTAATTATGAAATTACACACTTCTGGAATAAACTTGGGTTTTCACACTCCACCAAGATAGAGCAGGATGGCAAATGTGTAACTTGAGCTCTCTAATGTAACTTCAACATATTCAACATATTCCTGCTCATTAAAATGCTTGCCTCAGCAAAAATGATTTCCAACATATGTGTTTCGGAGGTAATTAAGTAACTCTATAGAAAAATAAATGCACTTTCCCCTCCTTTCCCCAGTGACTGGTAAATTTCCATACTTTTAAAATAATAATAAAAAAAATAATTTTCAAGAGCAACAGCCCTTAACTCTTTGCTGGTGCTTGCCATACTGCCTTTCTGTACTCTATTCTTAGCTCTGCTAGTTTCTTCTTTTATGTAATGATAAAAAGGGGATGTGGGTGGGTTATCACTTTTGTGTATGTCCCGTTTCCAAATTTCCCTCTCCAAAGAGCCAACCAAATAAACAAACAAACAAACAAACAAAAAACTCAACAGTGCAACAAAACACAAATAGCATTCCAACAGTTTGGCAAGTGATGCGTTCACCTGAGATTAAGTGATTTTAGGCAGTCAGTAACAAAATGCTGCTTTGCTGTAATAGTAGAAAGGCAACAAATTCTTAAAAGAAACCAAGAAGGTATACAATCTTGACAGTCTTATTAGCTTCCTCCTCTTATCTTTTACCCCCACGTATCTGTTGCGTATCTACTACAGTAGGCTGCAAGACATACAGCAAAAAGGATTGGCTTGAAGGCATTTGATGTTTGTAAATAAATCCACAACAGGATCCAAGCTGAGGAGGTGATACATGGTCAGCCTAGGAGGACGATTCTGAGCATGTGCATACGCAGGTCAAGTCCAGGCTATATTAAATAAAAAAAGGTCAGTGCGTTTTTCTCATGTTAAAGTTTTTTCAAAGCTTTCTTTTGTTCCTTGTTGTGCTGATCACAAACAAGTTTTAAAAGAGTATCAAGAGTCTGGCAGAAATGGAAAAAAAAAAAAAAAAGCTGTAGTGACATCGAACCGCACAATGTAAGCATTGAGCATGTGCAAATTTTCAAATCAAAAGAAGGAATTATCCCTCTTTACAACGTGGTGTCTTGACACGTATGACCATAGGCTAAGAAGACTGCTCTTAGTATGTGCCAGTTTTAAAGGAGAAAAGCTTAGATCTTCAAGCATGTTGGAGCAGTCCCAGAATGTTGCTGTGTAGGCTTCTAAAGCATCATCACTGCTTATTTCATGTATTCGCCATTTTCTGGGCAAAAGCAATTCCACTTCCACTGAAAACGTGTCTCCCAAGATACTTCTCTGTCCTCAGCCGGAAGAGACATAGAGTTCGGAACCCACATCAACTTGATTCAGCCAAGTGTTCCTTCAACGAGAGGGGCAGGATGGCCTATCGTCTGCTGACTGATCAGGATTTGGATCAATCTAGAAAGAAATGAGGAAAGAATTTTAGTAATTTGATGAGGTCTACAAAGAAAGCAGCAAATGAATGATTTTTGAGCACTAATGAGAAATGTAATCAGAAAGAAAATATACAGCTTATTAGCAAATTATACCCCATTATTTCCTTTTCAAATCTGAAATACTTGCTGTATGGGAAGGAAACGATGCTGACATTATCTTACTGTTAATCAAAGATGTCAGAATAGCCCTCTATTTCCAAAATTAATGGTAAAATTTTATCACAAAATGGAGTTTTATTCAGCATAGTACTTAAGATTCAAATATACAGTAGGAGAACATATCTTCATAGCAATGGACCTTTGTTTGTGAAGGACCCTTTTTATTCCCCACAAAAAAAAGGCAACTCCTCCCTTCCCAGGCTTTGGGAAGAAGGAAACTGTACACAGTGCTCTTGGTGCTTTTCTGAATAAAGAACTCATGGACGTTAAATCCTACAGAATGCCTAAAATATGGTGAGGACCAGGAAACAGCATTGCCGAACCCCACACCCTAGAGGTGTTCTGTCTGTTCCATCTCTGGAGTGATTTTCACATATAGGTAAACTTTATGAAAGCAAACTCATTTCAGTTACTTCACAGGTACAAAAACTATGGCCACAGAGGGGCAAATCAATTTATAAATATATTTTTATAGAAATATCTTTTGAACAAGACTCGTCCTACCTACTTACATTTAAATGTTGAGCAACCCAAAATGTTCCAACTTTTTGAAGGGAAAAAAACCAAAACATTTTTAGTTAAATATATCCTGAACCTATTTTATCTAAGCTAAGCTAAATTATCTTAATTATCTTTAGTTCATTTTAAAATGAGGCAGAATTGCTTCTAAGTGAATTAATAATTATATTGCTATTATTTTAAAATTTCCCTTTGGACAGCCCCTAAACCTTAAGTCAAGATAGAAATGACTAACTTCATGAGAAAGACAGAAATGTCAGAATAAAAATGTAGTAGCAAAACCTTTAATGAGTAACAGAAAATTTTGGCATCAAATAATAGAAATTTTATGATTTAGAATTAATAGGATAGGAAGAATTATGTCTACTTAAGAATTTGCAAGAATAGATTATAATAGGTCCTCCTTTTGGGGTCTATTTATTTTTTAGTGGACACCCTCTCACGGAAGCCCTGCCTGATACCCAGGGCCCAAAAAGCTCTGCCTCAAATGAGCTATACATTCCTGTCATATTTTAAGTAGGATTTTGCTTTTAAGTTTGTTTTTCTCACTACATGTGCACTTCTCCCAAGTAAGGAGCATGCTTTATTTACATCAATATGATATGAATGTAAATCGTCTCTAACAGTGGGAATGCTGTGGGGGATGTTACTGCAAACAGGCTCTTTTCCCCTGAGTGTTAAAATGTGCAAGAATTAAATTGGACAAAGACCATGAATAACTTAAATTCTAGCTACTTAATCAATGCTTGCAAAATACCTGTTCTGTTGCTGTTCAAAAAACATGAAATTACTCCCTCAAAAATTAAAATGAATGAGACTGGATCTTTGTTTCCCCAAAAATACTGAACAGTCTGTGTCAAATTTAATGAATGCTTACAATCCTAATCCTAGCTTTTAATCTATTGCTCTTAATTATTTGTTCTACTGTTTTTAGGATAATCAAGACCTAACTGTATTTGTAAAAACATCTGCAATGTTCTTTTTCAAGAGAACCTACCCATTTCACACTTAAGGAGTGCTTACCTCTGAATAAAGAGGTGGAGGCAAGAACCGAAATTCCTGTATATATGCAAACAGTGGTCCTTGAAGTGCTCTCTCAAAGTCATCACAAGCATTCACTGGTGCAAGATTGTTTCGCCTTTGTTCTTCTGTCACCACTTCTGCATAGCTGGGTGGTGCTGAAGGAAAAAGATACACGCAATTCGAACAGCACGTTCTTATGCATGTCAAGATACACAGAATAGTAGGTATTAAAATGGAATGTCAAGATAAAACAGCAATTTATTTGGTGATTAAAACTAGAGACATACAATATGCAAATTAAAATTTAACATTAAGGACATGTCTACTCTCTTTAGGGACAATTAAGTTTATCTAGGGTCATGAAATATCAGAAGCAAATAATGTTCTTAATAATAATAAGAGATTAAGCTTAGATATGTAATTACCTTCAGGTCTTTCAGGAAGGGATAAACCGAGCCAGTTCATATTCATGCTACACTGACTGCTTACACTTGAGGTTCTGCTACCAAATGGATGTAGAGGAATGGTACCGATGACAAGTGGCAGATTAAGAAATAAATCCATAGCTCCAGGAATATCCACATATACCTAATAGTAAAAGAGACATTAGGTTTAGAATGCCTAGTAAAATTAATGTCTTAAAAGTGAATAACGTAATTTTAATGTTAGCTGAGGCTCCCATTTACTTCATTTTTTACTTATACACATGAAGTTCCTCTACATATAAGGTAAAGTTAGTAATTACTTCAAATTATATAAATATCTGCATATATGTATATATATATAGAATATAAAAGTCAAATCCTGGATGTAAAACAAAATATCTTCATAACTTTAAGATTTAAAAAGAACTTAAGAAAAACAGCAACAGCAAACAAAACTTTTAAATCTATACATACCATTAGAGAATATTCCACACGAATTATACTACAATCTAGGATAGAGGGAGAAACTGGTGGAATTTTCAGCAATTTGCCATTCCATGTCTCTGTCTTTCCAGATGATAAGGATTCCCCACGCAAGTTGGCAACAAGCTGTTTTACTTCCTTCATTTTCCCTTTGGCATAGAAGGCCTGTGTTTGGTAAATGGCTGCCTTTGGCACCACCATTCGGGAAGAGCAGTTCTCAATCTCAGCAAATATCTGAATTGATTCACCTAGAGAGGGCAAAAAATACATGTATCTACTGTTTAAAAAAAACACACAAAGCAATATGAATTCTTAAAGTAATTAAGTTAGAAAGTTCAGGGATAAGAAAGTGTCCTAGGACTAACCAAGCACAGAATCAAAAATGAGCTTCTTAGTTATATGAGCTACAAAGACCATATTACAATTTGTAAAATGAAACTGGTTATGTACAATTTGTGATACTAAACCAAATAATACTGCACTATATGTATCTTTAGTAGCAATATTCTAAGTTTACATACTGAAGTTAAATGAAGAAAGATAACATACATACCTGGGGTATAGCCCTTCCTTTCAATTTTGGCACTTAAGGATATTGGGCCTGAGGTACAGAACCAGCAACAGAGAGTCTTTTCTTTTGTGCCAGCTTGGGGTGACTGTAAGAAATAAAAAGACCAATGTATGAATTGGCACAGTATCAGAATATTTTAAAAAATAATCCTAAATTCATGGAGAAGGTAAAATTAAAGTATTGCTTTTTTTCCCCCCCTGTACCCTTATATATTTTATTTTAAAAACTACCAATGGCTTCTTAATGAAACTATTATTTCTGCCTTCACAAAAATTTCCATTCCATGAAAGAAAAAAGGGTAGAGGGCTTAACACCCCATCAAATAAACATGATTTTAAAACCTACCTATTTACATATACAGTAATTAAAGATGAACCAACCATCCAAACAAACAAACAAAAAAAAAACCCTTTCCACTTAAACTGCCTTAAGAAAAGGCAATGGTTATAATCCCAAATGTTAACATCTTTGAGAATGTAAAAATCAGTATATAAAAAAAGGAAAACTGTCTATTTTGAAGGGTAATTTTTTTGTTTTGAAGATGTTATCATTTGTTTAAACCAAATAAAGTTTTTTAAGTCAAATTTAGATTTCATAAAAATGATTCCTTTTAAAATGGAATTAAGTTTTTTCATGAAAGTGATGATTCCCCATTATTTGACAACTATCCCTATATTGGAATAATGCAATACAGTATGAATTTTAGATGACAGTATTTTCAAGAAAGTGATATTTTCTTACAATAAATGACATTACTGCTGCTGTTGGTTTTCTAAAATCATCCAGAAGACAAATCTCTTTTTTCGATATTGCTGTCATATTCTTGGTAAGAGATACTTCATACCATATATACTGGTCTTCATTTACTTAAAGTTACTATAATATCAAAAATAGCAGCATATTCTTTATCAATTTGTATGTCATATTTAAAATATACATTTATGGAATTTTAAAATAAGACTACTATTTAAAATTTATGAGGATTCCATAGTTTAGTATTTAAATGCATAAAAAAAAAAAGAATGAAAAATCTAATCCACTCTTACCAGTAATGAAGGAGTGTTGATATCTATATGCTCAAAGACTGTAAATTCCTTCTTTAACTTTACTGGTAGAAGCCAAGGCCTGTGCAACTCGGCTTTCACCCAATAGCGCACACTGCCATGTCGGCCTTCGAATGAGGTAGCAAGTGGTCTGTGCAGAATATAAAGGTCAATATATTAATCTTATACCTCTTTCTAAGAATTACACAGTAGGTCAGAAAAAGTGTTAATATATTGTACTGTTTGTACCAGTGAGCATCAAATAGATAAATCTTAAAATTTCCAAAGGGATATGTCATCGGGGAAAAACATTTTACTTTCACATAGCAAGAGTTAATAAATATCATATAAATTTTACTCTAAAAAGCCAGAAGAATACAATTCCTTTAAAGTGAGAAGAGGCTACTCTTAATGCTGGTGGCAAAATAATAAAAATTTAATGAGTAGTGCCTGAAATGGTCAAGAATTTAACTTAAAAATAAAGAATGGTTTTAACTTTCTATTCAGAAATTCTAGACACTGTTTAAACATTCAGACCAAATTGCCTACAGTGCTCCACTTCTCATTAGCTGGGAATTATTACTTCTTTATATAGCAACTAATTAAGGTCTACAAAAAGCCTAGAATAGTCATTATAGTTTTAAAAATTTCACATTTCATAAAATCTACCGAAATTCTGAAAAACGGTTTTTACATTTCCCAGTTTACTCATGTTCTCATTCTTTCTTGGCTATGTTCCCTACCTCTATAGGCTTAAAAAATAAAAACATACCTATTGAACTGTAGCGAAAGAATCAGAACTGTTTTGGAACTCTGTCATTTTTACTACTTCTGGAGAGTTTTATCTCCATAAATTTACTCTTTTTCATAATTTCATTAAAAAATATATAATATGTTGAATTATTTATAAGCTAGAGTGCTAGTTTATACTCATAAGCAGCACTGATGTTTTTTTCTTTTTTTGTTTTTGCATTTTTCACTGCCATACTAACTTATAGGGCACAGAAAAATAAAATTCAGTACTTCTAAATTTTAAATTTCATGCTAGTCTTCTAGAGTTTATGACTGTGGTTTAGACTTAAAAATTAAATGACCTCTGAATATATTCAGGTCCAGTATCTGTCTTATTGTATTCACAGACTAGTATTTTTCTCAGAAACATTAAAGTACTGTATTCAAAAATGAAGCTGTTAATTATGGTAGAGAGACTATTCTAAAAAATACCTTTTATGAATTCTATGGACATGTATCAACCCAAGGACTAGAATTAACAATATCGAATTATGTACATTTGGCAGTTGCAGCCAAGTTTATCCTCCAGAACAATCAGTGTTAAGTGCCAGTTTACAGGTTTTAATGTCTTACAAGGCATCATTAAGGAAAAAGTTTGTATCTCTCCCAACAACCTGTTATTACATTAAGGCTATTGCACATTCCTTCCTCCTTTCATACCAGGTGAGAAAGGATGCTCCCTTCAAGCCCAGGTCTACCACTTGTGCCACCTTCTCAGTAGCTCTTTGCACACAAGCTATTGAATTCATAACAGAAGAACATCGCTCCTAAAGTTCACAATATTCCTAACTATTTTTCCTTTCATAACTTACAGCTATTGGTTAGCCTTTACAGAAAATGCAGAAAACTGGATTTTATAAACCAAGACTACTGTGACTTGGTAATAAAGTAAGTGCTTGTTTTTGACTAGCACCCTCCAATTCCCTGATGTTAAACCAAACATTTCATATTTTAAAAACCTCATTAACTTTGGGACTGAATACTAGAGTTGAGGTTCCTTTTCTATAATTTTGCCACAGATTAAAAAGTTGCTTCTTATGCTTAACATATTGTTTTCCTCTAGCAAATTTAAGTAAGGAAAAGGGTTTTTTTTTAACTGAAAGTATTTTAATTTTGAGTATTTAATTTTAAGAGACTGCTTTTGACCATGTGTGCCTATAACTGCTGAACACCTGTAACACTTACGTCTGTGGAAGCTCGAAGCTGAATGCATACTCATGCCTTCCTGAATGAATAGTGTTGAAGCCTTCTTCCGAATTATCATCATCTAAAACAAAAACAATAAACTCATTAAACCTTTACACTCCTCCAGGTGGCCCAACCTAAAACCTGTTCACATTATAAATCAAGACAAAAGCTTTACACTTGAGTTCCAGCCACATCTTCATCACTTCCTATGGATAAATAAAAAGCCAGAGTCTTCCACTGCCTCCTCTGTAGGTTGGGGGTAAGGAGAAATTGTACCCACAGTCCCCCCCCCCTCTTGTTTTCCCTAAGTGGAAAAGAACCAAACCTATAAAGCGCCCTACTCAGCAAAAGCTTCAGGTGTGAAACCACACTAAGAAAATGCGACCTTCGTGTTCAACTGATCATATTGAGACTATACAAAAACTGTTCACACTGATGAAATCTTTACTTAATATATACTGAATTGATCTTCTGTATATATAAATTAAAAATGAATCTTGATGTGAATGGAATGGGAGAGGGAGGGGGAGATGGGAGCGGTGTGAGTGGGAGGGAAATTATGGGGGGGGGGGAAGCCATTGTAATCCAGTAACTGTACTTTGAAAATTTATATTTACTAAATAAAAAAAAAAAACTGTTCATGTAAACTTCTTCAAATTACATCCCATCGGTGGGGAGGGAGAAGGAGTAATATAATAGCGAAGATGTTACAATCCCAAAACCACTGTAAAATTTCCTGCCCGAATAGACATTAAAACAAAAATAGGAACCGTGATTTTCGTATCAGTTTCACAGCTAAAAATAATTACTTAGGGCCCTAAAACGGTCACAATCCTGAGTTCATCATGGAACAGCCCCAGTGTGCATCTCTATGATCTGCCTGAGCTTATCCTAAATTTAGGACGAGATCTGAAGGGTGCCCGGGGCGTACCAGGAAACACTAACTGTCCCACTTCCTTGAAAAAATGAAGTCTCATCAGGTCCTTTCCAGTCGCTGGCCAGATAAAGGGGCTGAGCTGGCATCGGACACGCCGATCCTGCCGGTTCCACGCGCGGCAGGTGACCGGCAAACCACCGAGACGCCGACAACGCGGCCGGGCTGTGGTCTCGCGGGTCGTGACCAGAATCACGCACACCCCGCGTCTCCTCAGCGAGCACCCCGCACCGTCACCCCCGGAGGGCCCGAAACCGGTCCCACCTGGGAACTTTTCCCTCAGCCAACCCCGGCGTCGCCCCCGGAACGAGGCGCCTTCCTGAGGGCCGCCGGGGAGAAGGGTCAAGGCGCCCACACGCGCACACTTCCAGCCTCAACAGCGTGGCGACTGTCTCCCGTCTCCACGCTCATCTCCCTCACCCCTCGGGCAACTCCCCTGGGCGGCTCTCAGCCCAGAACACCAGCCGGAGGGTTGGGGGCTTTAAACGCGCCCCCTTTCAAGGCGCCCCAAAGTTTGCCCTCCTCGGCCTTTCTTCCCTTCTCGCTGCCTTTTTGTGCCAGCTCAGCAGTCTCATGGAGGCGAGCGGCGGCGGCCGCGCCGTGGTAAACAAGTGCCTGGCTGTCAATCAAGAACTAGACCGGAGCAGGAGAGGACCGGCCTAAACCGGCGCGAGCAGATCTCAGCCAGCCAGTCAGCCAGCCAGCCCGCCCGCGCGCGCCGCCGCCGGCCGCGCGCTCCGCTATACATACGGCATACGTCGCGCGGCGCTCGCGCCCGCGCCCGCGCCCGCGCCCGCGCAGCCTAGCCTGCTGGACCGGGGGCGGGGCGAGGGCGCCGCCGCGCTTCCGCTGTACACGCCCCAGCCGGCGACCGGTTCGATCTGGCTCGGGCCACCCTGACACCTTTACAGTTGCAAAGCAGGGAGACCGGGCCGGGGAAGTGGCGGGCCTGAGGCTCCGGGAAACAATGGGGAAGGGACCGGGGACGCTCGCCGAGACCCCCTCCCGCCCAGATTCCCGGATTTGAAACCACTTTTCTTTGCCCTGGCCAGCCAGTGCCAGACTCCCCCTCAGGTCACGTCAAGGTAGCCAGACTGCTGACTGGACAGTCGGCACATGTCTGTGGCAGCCGAGAGGAAAGGGAGCCACTCCGACACGTCGCCCGCGACCTCGGGGGTCCCGCTCGCTCTCCTCACGCCAGCCCCCTCTACGAGGGTCTCTGGCCAAAAGTTGCGCCCAGGGCGACTCTGCACCTGTGAAAGCCGGCAGCGGCTGGCGCCCCGTACGAGGCGTCCCCCTCGTGGCCCCAACAGGCCGGAGAGAGGGACAGCAGCAGGGCATGCCGCGACGCGGGCCCCGGGAGCCCACGGAAGCCCGGGAACGCACTCGCGCGAGCGCGGGCGGGGGCGGCCGCTCGGGAGGGACCTTTACCGGCGCACGCCGGTTCCAAGCCGCGCCCCAGCCGGCCGGAGCCCACTCTCCCCACCCGCGCCGGCCCAATCCAATCAGCGCCCGGCATCGCCTTAGCAACAGGCTAACAAACCTGGCCCCGCCCCTCGCCGGCCGCCCGGGGCGGGGCCTCCGCCGCCAGGCTCGTGTGAGAGCTCTCAGCTAAAGTCATTGAAACTACTCCAGGCAGAAGCTCGTCCACGCGTGGCCGGCTTCGGGGGGCGCCCGGCTAGGTGCGGGGCGTTCGGTTTTCCTCACCACGAAGTCGAGGTGCAGCTAACGACCTTGCTTTCCGCCCCAACGCATTGTTCTACTTTCCCTTCACTGCAAGGCTCAACTCTTGAGAGAAAAACCTTTTGTTTCTTCTCATTTTATAAAAGGCTGGAAATCAAACTCGCGTGTGCGCTTTGCAGCACACAGCAGAACTGTCATCAGGCGCTTTGCATTTCCTATCAGAGTTAACGCTAGGGAAGACGAACTAGAAATTACTTCAAGATGCAAAACCACCTGGGTGAACTGTGGAACCCCTGCCGAAGAACTGATTTCACCTGAGCATTTAAAAAAAAATGCAATAATGCTGTAACTCAACGCTTCCTTTATTTCTCCCTTCCCTTAATTCAATTAGCATTTCCCTGGGATGTATATCTTGAATATAAAAACGCAGATAAAAACGAGCCTCTTTCTGAAAAAGTCAGCATTTGCACTAAATACTGCATTAAAAAGGAGAAGCACAAAATTACATAACCAGTTTTAACATTATATTCTTCTTGGGCTAGGAATTAAGTCATCGCCACCACCTGACGCGTGTAACCAATCTGCTGAGAGCTGCACAAGCGCCCCTCCTCACCACCCCCCAGAACTGGTCCGAAACAGGATTGAACCGCTTCTAACAAAGGGTGGAAACTTAGAAAAACAAGCTTAGAGTCTCCTATATTTCCACAATGTAGCCATCTAAACAATAGAGGGGAAATCTCAGGACCCCCTCTCCCTTTGACAACCCTCCATCTCCCCCTTCTAACCAAAAATCAAGTCCAGTGTGCGGTCTACTTTTCAATTCCATTGGACTGGCAGGGTTTCATTGAATGCACGTTCCAAAGTTAGACATGATGCTTGGAGAAGAAACTGCTGGCCCTGAATGGCTTCTGAACCTGACTGAACACCGGCCACGGTGATAGATACTGTCTTTTAAAATAAGGAATGCTTGATGCAAAATTCCCAAAGCATTGGAAAGAAGAGGTTAAAAAAAAAAAAAAAAAAACACGTGGGGTGTTGGTAATACCATATGTCAAAATAAGCCAGGGAAACCCTCTCTCAAAGAACAATGATCAATTCCTTATAAAGTCCTTTGCACGTTAATATTAAAAGGAAACACATCTACTAACCCTCCTAAAATGTTATTTCATTCCTTCCTTCGAGCTCAGGTTTTGAGCTAAGGTTGCAAAGGAAAAGGAAAAAATTTTTAAAAATCTGATGCCGGACCGCAGCTTTCAACAATTCATTTGAAAACATAGCAGTAAAATCATGGACTCGGAGGCAAGCAGAATTTCCGAGTGAGGTGCAAATGGACCGCAAGTGCGTATGGCACAGCCCGAGCCGGGTCCAGGGGTGGTGGAGACGAGGTGCAGTTTGCAGTCGCTTTGCAGATGCCGGCACGCATTACAGCCTCCCGTCAAGGAGAACCCAAACCTCGCAACTTTGCTAGCCTCCAGCAAACGGCCGAGCTACGCTGCGAGAACCACGTCCACCCGAGAAAGCCAGCCTGCAGACTGCCGAATGGTAGGAAAACTTACCTCTTTCGTGCCCAATTAAGATGTCTTTATGGTTGAAATATTCTACTTCTTCGGTGTAGTTCTGCGTGTAGGCAGTATTGGAGCCGGCGTTTCTAGACTCCGTCCAGCGTACTTTCGCATGTCCTCTTGCATGAATTTTAAGCGATTTTACTCTGATTTCCCCAGTAACTTCTAAATTCACCCTTCCTGAGACAGTATCCCCGCTGGAATACACGGGGACATTGCTGTCATTCAGACAGTCGAAGCTTATTGTCAAATTCTTCACCTTCCCCAGCACCATGTTGATAACAAAAATCTATAAAAAATATAATGTAAGACCCCAAAAAAAGTCAAGATCGCATATAAAATGGGATCTTCACTCAACACTGATCGATGCTTCTGCCGTGCAAAAATGCAAACCCTTGCAGGCAGGATCAGTGGCTCCTCACAGACAGTTCATTGAGAGCTCTTAAAAGTCAGGGCAGCAGAGAGGCTGCGGCGGCGGCTCCGCGCGCCCGCCCGTCTCAGTGGTCTCCTTACAAAGACGGGCGGCCGGAGCCTGCCAGCTCACTTTAAGAGCAGCTTTGTGAAAAACAACCCCAGTGCGCACGCGCACGCCGCCGCGGCCGCCGGCCCCCCGGGCGCGCGCCCCCGCCGCGCCGCGCCGCGCTCGCGCTCGCGCCCTCGCCGGGCACGCGCGCGGGTACAGTAGGCGTGGAGCCGGGGAAGCCGGCACGGGCGCTGCCGGGAGGCCCGGCCGGACTTCGCTGCATTGTGGGCTCCCATTGGCGGGCGGGCTGCCGGAAAGCCCCGGCGTGCTCCCCGGAGCCGCTGGCCGGGCGGCCTCTGACAGAGCGACAGCCGGCGGGGCGCTGAGGGGCCGCGGGCCGCGTGGAGGGGCGGCCGGGCCGGCGCGCGCGTTAGCGGCGCTGCGCGGATTCGCCCGCCGCCTGCCTGGGAGGAGGAGGAGGAGGAGGAGGAAGAAGGGGGAGAAACCGGTCGGGCCAGCGGCTGGGTGGCTGAGCCTGAGCTAACGACTTTCGGGAGGAAAAAAAAAAAAAAAAGTCCTGAAAACCGGGCCAGGAATCGTGTTCACAGACGAGAGCAGTCTCGGCGTGGATTTTATGCGCGTCCGTAGATGGCTGTAGACGGGGTGGAAGTGAGCTCCCTGGAGGCCAAAAGGGGGCCTGCGGAGCGGACGCCCTAAGGCAGCGAGGAAGAGGCGCAGGTCCCGTCCCCTCGGGGGGCTGTGCCGGCTCCGGCTACCCCGAGCGAGTCGCTGGCGACCTTTGGGGCAGGCGGCCCGCTTCCCCCGAGGAAGCCGAGGTCCTTGTTAGGGACGCCAGCCGTGGCCGGAGTCAGGGTGCAGGGTGCGCGGCTGCAGCCCTCGCGTCCACAGTGCCACCTTGCAGAAGGCAGGTGGCACGGTGGTGGCTCGGCTCGCAGCCTTGGTGGGGAGTTGCTGGAGCGCGAGCGATGGTTTGAAGGAGCGAGATGCAGCGTGTGGAAAGCATAATTCTTAGCATCAGTGAGGATGCGGATTCTGCGGAGCCGCGGTTGTCCGCTGGACTGTTCAGCCTAGTCATTCCCGTGCATCCTAATAGGTACATTTGTCTTTTTTGATTGTGAGTGTTTCGGTAAGAAATAGCAGAGCCTGCGTCACGCCCCACTGGGATGCAGAGTGTAACAGCACAAACTCGTGTAGATTACTGGCCTCCGCAGAGCTGCTGTCAGGAGAGCTATAGAAAGACAGAAAAAGATGGGAATCTGAAGCCACATATACATAACCAGGAATTCTTGGGAAGGTTTTTGGCTACGGCTGTGTCCATACGTTTTAGATTCTTCTGCGTAGTACGTTTGGGTAGATGGAGCCCGGGAGTCACAATAAATGATACTCGGCCTTGCTGTTTTGGAGGAAGTGAAATTTTACTGGGTTGGGTTTTAGTTGACAAGGCAATGTCTAAGGACTCCGGAGCAATAATCTGGAAAGGGTAAATCTGAACACGGTTTGGACGGTGAGTGATGCCGTTTATATGAGTTTTAAGGTTTAAAAATAAGAATTTGTGTATTTCCGTATTGGAAAATTCTCCCCTTCCTCCCCCCTTGGTTGACACCTGGTGGAAAATCTAGGTAAAGTACCTGGGTCCTTGTACTAGCTTAGGTTACAGATACTACTTATGTTTTTCCGCCCCCTACGGGTAGAAATGGTGAATTTGCTGGAATGTCAGCTTTTCCTCACCGTAGGGTTAATGGTATTTATTAGGCATTACAATGACATTGAGGAAGAGAAATTTAAATGTGCAACACGGAATGAGTACATAAATTCACCACTAAATGTATAGTTACTGGAGGCTAGTCAAGAATGAATATTTTAGGATTTTAGTAAGATTAATTAAAATTAATTGTTTCTTAAGAAATAAGAATTCTTAAAAAAATAAGAATTAGCTATGTAAATAGACTAGAATTGCATATAAAAAGAAGCCCTAGGATATTTATCCACATTTTGGAAAGTTGTTTTAATACATTAAGTGATTGATTCACTGTATGCCTTGTGTTTAAAGTTTTTAGGGTCTTTTGAATCATTGCCATTATTATCTATTTTACTGTTTTTCTTTATTCCTAAATAGTAACTGACAGATTGCTGGGAAATCCTTATCTGCCACCATTTTTGCTCAGGAGCCCACTCGTTTACACTTTGTATCACCTTTCTTCCGTGTAGACTTGGCGGCATGACTGTTCCTCAGGTGTTTTTAATTATTGGCTTCATTTTGTTTTCCTCTCCTGTTTTCTCCAACAATGAAAATCCCAGAGACAGAGACCCCTAAATCTTTGTTTATCTTTTTCATTTCTCAAAGAAAAAGAAAAAGCCCTTAGACCACATTTTGATTGTTTCCTCTCCTCTCGTGGCTTTCATAGCCTCCCCTCTGCCAGACTCCCTGGCTAACTGTCTGTACATTAGGCCCCCTGGGAATGCTGTCCAGTGGAACTTGTCTCTGGCTGTTCGGCTTGCTTCGCTGGGCTCCTACTGTGCTTTGCACCAAATTTTAGCTATTCATCTTTACCACCAAGGCTCTTTCCTACCACCCCAGCCTACGTCTCATCTGCCATCTCCTCCTACTCATCCACTAACTCTCTATGCTCCTGTCAACTGCATCTTCTGTCCCCTTTGTTAGCTCATCTCACTGTTGCCAATGTGCAGTTACGCACTGGTTCCTGTGCCCAGAACAGCTTCCCACTGCTGTCTTATCTCCTTTCCCGTCTCACCCCTCCACAGACTCGCTTGGCACAACTGAGTAGATAGAATAACTAGCCCCTCTTTCATGGCTTCTAAGGTAGGCCATCTCTTTTTATGGTGTATATACTTCTTGAATTTTGAATCAAATGGCTGTTGTACTTTGATGTGCAGAAGTTTGCAGTGGATGCTGGCTCAAGTAGTTGTCCTAGCCCTGGTGTTTCAGCCATTTGAGGAGTAGATGAAAGATATCTGTCACCTTGCCCTTCAAGTAAATGAATCTTTTTGAAAAAAGTGTGAACTCTGTCCAAAAAAACTGACAAATGGTAATTATTATCAAGGTATGTAATATTGAGATATCTCAAACTGACTACCAAGTATGTAGTTTTTCACATATCAACTATATATACAAAAGCAAACCATTTTAATGGCTCAATGTGGCACACCTAGATAGAGTTCTGGGCTCCTGGCTTTGGCCTGGCCCATCCATGTCTGTTGTCAGTATTTGGGGAGTGAACTAGTTGAACCAATCTCCTCTTTCTCTCTCTGCCTTCCAAACAAATAACATTTTAAAGCAATCCGTCTCAAGCAAAAATTTAGATGTTTGGTGGTCAGAAAAACCATACCTATAGTTAGAATTTGTTTCTCACAGAAAAATATGAAATCCATGCTTAATGTTTATCTTAATTAACACCTGACAGGTTTGAGTGCTGTGTAACTAAGGTATTATTTTATTTTTTGTAAAGATTTGATATATTATTAGCAAAATGAGTAATATTTTAAAAATATATTTGAAAGTGAATTACATATTATTTTGTTTCATTCTTCATCCTTAATGGACATATAAATAAGTTACAGGTTTTGTGGTAAGTTCAGAAACAAATTTATTTTCTGTTCTCTCTCTTTAAGAAATAGTATAATTTGTGTTGTATGGGTATAATTTAACCTGTTGTTTTTTATAACTTGATTAAAAGAATATCTACCCAGAGTTATCATTGTTAATATTTTTACATGTTTCTGTCTAGATGTATAACCAAAAAGCAAACAAATAAATAAAAAGCCAGACTCCACCGATTCCCAGTGGGTCTTTCTGCAAATCCAGAAGGAGAGGAAAACTTGGAAGAGTTTTTTCATACACAGGTGGCAATGAGAGATTGTTGCAAGGTACCACATTGGGGGAGTGGCCTAAGGACTTGGACCATCTGCTGCTGCTTTTCCAAGCGTGTTAGCAGGGAGCTAGATTGGAAGTGGAGGAGCTAAGACTTGAGCTGGTGACCATATAGGGTGCTGATATCTCAGGTGGTAGGTTAGCCCATTATGCCACAATGCCAGGCCCCATAAATAAATCTTGAGAAAAGAGCTTTAATTCCTGAGTTCAGCACCTTTTGGATGTGTGGCCTACTGGGAGGTGTATGGGATGTGAGGTTGAAGCCCTCATGAATGGATTAGTGGCTTTCTCCCATGGATTCTGGCTCTCATGTGCCTGGGTTTACACTGGAGCAGGCTGCTAAAGTGAGGCAGTGCCTTGTGTGCCACCTCTTTTGGATGTGCCTCCTTGTGTTCCCGTTTTCTGCCAACAAGTTCAAGCATCACTAGCCCCTCATCACATGTGACCACCTTCCCAGCCAAGATCAGAGCTATGAGAAAAATGAACCTCTTTTCTTCATAAATTAGCCAGTCTCAGGTACTTTGTTACAGCCACAGAAGAGTGCCTGTTCAAGTTCCAGCTACTCTGCTTCTGATCTTGTTCCTTACTAATGTGCCTGGGAAGGCAGCACAAGATGGCTCAAGTACTTAGGCCCCTGCCATCCACGTGGAAGCCCTGGCTTCAGTCTGGCTTAGCCCAGTCGGTTGTAGCTATTTGGGGGTTGAACCAGCAGATAAAAGACTCTCTCTCTCTCTCTTTCTCTCCCTCTCTTCTCTCATTCTGCCTTTCAAATAAACAAATAATTTTTAAAGATGGTTAAGTGAATGGAATAAAAATCACCAAAACATCAGTGAGGAAGACCTCTCTGGGAAGGGATGTGGAGTGAGGCACAAGATGACTGTGCCTTGTGGATGTCGGGACAATGGAGCGTAAGCAGAGATATCACATGCAGCCAGTATGTCTTGCAGTGACAGGAGGTCAAGAAGACTGTTCAGGCGGGGTTGGGAAGCTTGGTTGGTAGCAGAAGATGGAAGTTGAGGAGGTGGTGGATGTGGTGATTGGTGTGGGTGGTGGGATGAAGCCATGTTTTTCCTTTGTAGCTATATAGAATGTGGTACATTGTCCAACAAGTCCAAAAAAACCATGAGATTGTACACTTAATTGTGTGGGCTGGACTGGGGGT